TGTTGTGTGTAAGACAATTATGAGAACAGACGATCATGCGCACGTCGATTAATTTAATTGTACTGATTAATACTAATGAAAAAGAACAAGAAAATGATCAATTTTCATGCTCAGTTTGGAATGAGTGAGGATAAGAGGAAGTTAATCATTTGCAGTTATTCAGAATTTACCATCTTATAGATCACATTGAAAATACGAACACATCATGTCAATTTTATTTTCTAAAACAGAAAAAGGCAAGCCAGTTCTCATTCAACACGGTTTTGATTACATTGAAGAACGTACTCATGAAAATAAAATACACTGACGATGTTCACAACGCAACAGACATGTAAAGCTAGATTGCATACAATAATAATAGAATTCGCTATCGAGTTGGCGATCGCAATCATACTCCAAATCCGAGGATAAGTGTAATTCGTCGATGTCATTCCGAAATATAAACCGGCTTCCGCCTATCAACAACATGTATAGATTTTAGAAAATCCTACAAATGATAATATACAACTACTAAAAGCGATCGCTCGTACATTCATATTATAATTGTTTGTTGATTTGTTCATTGTCTTCCATTTTTTAGTGATAATACTTATTTGAACATAACACATATTCATTTCGCACACAATTACCTTGCACACAATCGTCTTACACACAATCGTCCTGCTCCCTGTGGTACTATACATTTGGCTTAAAACTGAAATTCTTGATTACATATCATTCAAATTAATTTTTTTCTTCACTTACAATATTTTAAACGATAAGTACAATTATAAACAACAAAATTTTAAACCAAGTATATATCCACAACTTATGACTCTAATAAAAAAAAACCATCTTACTATAAGTGTTCTTTTTAAAATCATTTTTAAAGGGTGTTTCATAAGTTCTAAGCTTCAACGAAAAGTAGTCTGTATATACATAAAGAGTGATCCCTACCTACTATATCTATATGAGTTTCGAGTACTTAAGACGATGTTTTTTATATGGCATATTATCCTATGACATTATCTATTTTGATAATAGTGATATAAACAGAAGAAACGTAATAATTAGAGCGCAGGTGCACATGATAGACACATCCACATTCGAAGTTAAGTAGTTCTCAAAACCGAACAATGTTTTTCTGTTCTGGGAATGATACTCATGGTTAAAACAACCTTTGTTCTATTGCAGAAATGGCACATCCGGTTAGAGAAATCTTTATTTTGTTATCGAAAACTTTCGAACATGAACTCTCAGAAATATAGTCACATATAGCATATGTGTTAGAATTAAAAATAATGTTAATTTAATACTAACAGCTTGATATCAATTAATTGTAATGCAAATAATATCCAAAAAATTAAGATTAATTCTATTACCAATACTAATCTAACATCTCTATTCCAAACTTTTATTCACTAAAAGGTTAAGAAAAGAAAAACTCTATTGAAAATGCCCGGACACTCACTTGGCCACGCCTATTTTCCATACTATTGATTCATAGCGTCATCTGCTCTCAAAAAAGTTTTACTGGTTATCAATCGTACTCGAGCAAGCTACATATTTATTTTTCTATTATTTTTCGATCGAATATTTGCAAAGATGTAATTATAAATGATATCTATGAATGTGCTTCTATCGTTCATTTTTCATACTTATTAATGTAAAAAAATTTAATTATGATAATGTTAATAAAATTTGCATAAATTTAAGATGTATTCTTGCAATTACATACTATTGAACATGTTACAAGAAACAAATTTGTATAACTATTTTTAGATTTTACCTAAAATGAATTATCGTTGTATTGCTTATCAATTAATAAATTTATATAAAAGAGATTTACCATTATATAAACAAAGATCACATTTATTTTCTCGTTATTTAACAACAAATATTCAATCACAATCAAATACATCAACACGTCGATGGTCAATAAAACGATATATTCTACTTATTGGATTACCAATAACAAGTATTTTATACTATCGTTTATCAACAGAATATGAAACACGACGAAAACATCGAATTATTTTAGGAAGTATTGTACGAGCCATTCGGTAAAGATTATAATTTTGATTATTATTATTTATATTATTTGAAATTTCAGAGCAATTTCGGTTGGTATACAATCTGTGATCGATCAAAAATATAGTTTATTATTTAAACGTCATGTAAAAAAAAACGAACGGTTTTTGAATTGAATATAACATAAAACATATTTTTATGTAGGGTACTAATGAATATCGAACAGCATTACAAGCATGTCGACGTCGAAATGCTAAACGTTTTGCTAATTTTTGTATTGATGCCGGTGGTGTATATGTCAAAATTGGTCAAGCATTTGTATGTATCTGTTTCATGTAGATAAATGTCAATAACTTCTAAAAAACAAAAAAAGAACAACAATAATATTTGATAGGTTTTATTTGTAGAAAATATTAAATAATATTTGATCTCTTTAATTATCAATAAGAACAATTTATTTCTTTAGATAAATCTTCCAGAAGTTATACCATTGGAATATTATGAAGAATTACAAATTCTTGAAGTAAATTTAATTGAAATAATTTCGATTTATTTTAATATAATATATAATTTAATAGGAACGTGCTCTTCGTCAAGAAAAAGGCGGAGTAAATTTTTTTTTTTTATAGTTTTTGCCATTTATATAAAAGTTGTTTTTTTTTATTAGATTGATGTTTTATTTAAAAGATATTTTCATGATACACCAGAAAATATTTTTGGAAAATTTAATCGAAATCCTATAGCAGCAGCATCATTAGCTGAAGTCTATATAGGTGAAACAAAAGAGGGCGAACAAGTTGCTGTTAAAGTACAATATTCTGATTTACGTGAACGCTATGAAACTGATATTGCCACGGTAAATTAAAAGACAAAATTAAAAACAAAACATTCTTTATTTTTTTTTCTTTTTTTTGGATGAGAATTTTATTTCGTCTTTTCGAATGGTTTAACCCAAGATGGACTATGGTAAAAATTAATACGAAAATAATTTTTTATTTTAATTCTTTGTTTTTGTTTTCAAGGCTTGGATGTTAGATGTAAGTTTATTGAAAAAATAAATATGGAAAAAAAAATAAAAGAAATAATGTTTCTAATGAATTAGGAATTACATGATGATTTAGCATTAGAATTAGGTAAATTTTTTTTTTGTTTTTGTTTCGAAAAAAGAATTTTATTTATCTTTTTATATTTAGATTTTCTTCATGAAGCAAGAAATGCTGAACGTTCTCGTGAACATCTTAAACATTTAGATTATGTTTATATACCAAAAGTTCATTGGAATTTAACAAAGAAAGTAATAAATATTTAAATGAATTTATTTTAATGATTTAATGTTTTTTACTTTTTTTTATAGCGTATTTTAACTTACGAATATATCGAAGGTATAACAATTGATCATGTAGATGAATTAAAAAAACAAAATCTATCATTAAAAGATGTAAGTTTAATTCTTTTTTTTTTATAATCTATAGGAAAAAGTAAGTTGACTCATGTTTCAATGATTTATGATAGATAACGCCTTTTGTTGTGGTCGTTGATAGAAAAAACAGATACATGTCAAGTTATCTGTTATTGACTTCTCTTGTCACGTATTTTCATCTCGTTCTAATAAAAGCTTTTCTATCTAAGATAAAAATAGCTAAACTATAATACATATTTTTAACATGAAGAAAATTCGCTAATAGTTTCAATGATAGAATGTTGGTTTTTATCCATAGGAAAATCACTTTTTTTTTTAAAATAAAATTCAATTGTAAAATATGAGAAACTTATCATTATTTTTTAATTATTACCTGAGATAGATTTCAATATTCATTAACAAGCATGTAATAAGAATTTTTTTTTTACTAACATGTACAATATAAAATTCTATGAAACTAGTTTTGTTTGCATAACGACTAATTAACTGCATAATAAATATATTGATATGAAAAAATAAAAATGACGGATAACTTTGATTTACTTTCATGAAATGATTGTTTATATTCGGTAAAACAAATCTTTCAGTATGATTTTTGTAGAATTAAAAAATAAAATATGATATAGCTGCTTTTACTGTAAACAATTAAATTTTAATTAGATCTGCCAAGATTTATGAGATATTACATTCGATAATAAAAAGATATTAATTGTCATATCTTACAAAACATAGAATAAGGATTTAACATTCTTTAATTCTGATATTTCATAAAAATCAAATACTTTCAAAAACACTTAATAATATATGAGATCATTACGAAATGAATTCATGATTTTAGACATACAATACAGTCAAATAATTTTAACCTGAGTACCATCGTGATCGTCTAAAAGCTTTCACTTTATGGATATGATTATTATTGGAACGTTTTTCAGTTTCTTTTTTTAAATCTGTAAGTATTCAAGTGCAATCGTTCTTTTCTTGGTTGCACAAGGTGATCTTTTTTCTTCGTTTCAATAATTTACTAAATCAACTTTTTGTTTTTAACTAGAAGTAATTTCGTACTTGTTGATATGATTTAATGTTACTAGCTGTTAACATAAGAATGATATTATATTATAGCAAGCACTCTTATTGTTGTCTAATATAGCTTCTTCTTCGTTTTAATATGCATGGTTAACTCCATCCTCTTTGTATGTGCGCGTTCCATGATTGTTTATGATAACGCAATACACAATAATACGGTTTTTTCTTTTCATTCCATGCACGAGTGATAGAACATATGTTGCTCATATTACGGAGGTTATTATTACTAATGGAACCAGATATTAGCACTCATTGTTCAAGGCAAAGAAGTACTCATATTTGAGAGGATCTTTTCTAGC